ACATTTATCGAACAAAGCGCCGAGAAAAACGACAGCAACAAGCGGCGCCGGCTGTATCAAATTGCCAACACTTCACAGGAGCCAGAGGCGTTCACTGGAGTTCACTTCATTATTTGTTGCAATACATCTAGACCTCGGTACGGCAGTAGCCCGTCTAACTCTGACCCTGTCATGTAACAGTGCCATAGTCTACTAACCTAGTATTTCGTGTTCTAAGTAGTTAAAAGTATCATAAACTCGCATCAAAATTACTAAATGTATTCAATTTTACTCCCTTCTTAAATATCACGTAGAATTGATAAAACGAATAAAACTGAATTCGAATGAAAAATACGCTTAATCATCGCTCGGAAAGGAACAAAAGAATTAAGGAGTTCGAGAGAAATGTCTAACTTTCCCCCCTATTAATCAAAATGTATTGAAGGGCTTGGACGCTGTTATTGATATCTGCTTGATGCAAAATTTATTATTGGCGTTAAGACCCTGAGCTGAGCCGCCAAACGAATGAAACTTTTTAAAATTCCAGCTCAACTCGCTAAAGTAATTAGAATTTTTCCAGCGCCCCATTGTGCTACGAACTCTGCTCACACAAACTTTTAATGCGACTTAAATTCAAATGCTATTTTACAGTTTCTCTTCGAAGAGTTGACTTTAATGAAATATTGATTACGCGAACGGAAATGTTGAGACTGGCTCGTCAGGAAATAATATTTTTTCGACGAAAACTAATTTTCTTTCATTACTCATTGTAAGCTTTTATTATTTCATTTTTAGATTTTCATTAAATATTGTACACTACAACCCAAAAAACCAGCAGGTGTGGCCGATTTCTAGCGCAACGAGTTTCGTAGATATCTGTTAAAATATTATTTCTAATTTATATTTATAAGACTATTACTGTTATATAGTATAATACTTTGGAACAGATAAAGGGATCTTTTGGCTACTGAATTCTATATTAAGTGCTACTTGATTTTTTAAATTATCATATTAGTTACATGCCTATATGTTATGTGGCGCTGCTATATTCCTGTGATATGTTCGAAAAGTTTTTAACAGGAAGTAAATCTGTATCTAATTATAGATCAAATTAAACCGCAGATCGGAGTCAAGCATTTCAACCGACGTAATATCCATGTGCCAAAATAGGGTGATTGTGATGTAACGCCTGTTTGAGGTGTTCGGGGCTCTTTGATGTGGTTGCATTGAAAATGTTTATTATATTATGTACAAAACTATATATTCAGTTGCTATGCTGAGCAATGGATTTGATATGGGTATAAGTTAATTTTTACTAAAGATGTAACATTGTGAGTAATTAGAAGACGTGCGGTATTATGTAGTACCAATTAAACTTATTTGTAATCATAAAAAGTTTTGTGTATTTTTTTTATATTTCTTGTTTTAATAAAAATTAGATACACTTCAGTTTTTAAAGTACATTAAAACAAAGAATCATGCTGTTTAAGAATTTCCTTTTTATCACATTTAGCATAGAATTTTGAAAAATGCAGAAAACACACTCTCTTCGTTTCAGCCGGTTCTATTGTCTGTCGGTTTAGGCTGTGTGATAAGGTCCTGAATCAACATTCTCGAATATTTTTTCTTTTACAAAAACGAGACAAACTTTTTAAATTACTCTGAAATCACTGTCACTACGGGTAAACCTGAAAGTCATTCGTAGAGTTCAAAATCCGTGCAAATAGTAGTCATCAATCGAAGAGGCTTTCTGTCACAGACAAGGGACAAAGGGGCCTTTGTACCGTTTAAGATATAAGGAAGAGTTATTACTTTCGCGAGTTAGACAGTGCGTTTATTTTAACTAAATAATCCCAATTACTACTAACCAATATCCTGTAAGAATATGTTAAAATTGGAATCTATATATAGCTTGTAATTTCTAATAGTCTCTACAAGGCTATACCTTTCAGAGAAAATAAATGTCCAATCGTCTTACGTCTTCTACAAAGCCATCTTTGTAAGTATTTAATACAACGTTGCAAAATGTTTTTATTACGACAGTGTAAGAAAGAGGGCCTTAATGTTTTTGTGATGAAGGTAACATTTTCATATAACTTGAAATTAAGGTGATCTGTGAACCTTCTTTGTCTTTGGACGTTGGAAAAACCTTAGAATTAACACGCGTATTTACAATCAACTGCGATTACATCTCCACAGATATAGGTCGTATATAGTGGTATCCTACCACTCGTTTACTCGAACCTACGACCCGTTAATTTGATTTCAGCTAAACATTGCTACTGAATCTTACTGGTACTGGTTTGCTGGTCAAATCTTTAAGGAGCCTTTATCAAAGCAGGTAACATTCGATACACAGCCTGATCTCATACTTCCACTGATAATATTATGCTCGCCATACATACATACAAATTTGTGTAACACGCTGGACTGTTGATCAATAGGGCTTGTTGTGTTAACCTAAAGTTTGCTATTCCTTCTCGTTATACGTGAAGAATTCCTTGGGGTAAGAATAACAACAAAGCCAAAATATTCGGCCAGAATATATAGAGGATAAATGCTTATTATTATCATTTATTGTTTTCATACAATGCGAAAACTTTCTGACATTCAATATCATCGAAATAGTTATTATTAATTGATAAGTAATGTTTTCTAAAACATATGATTGTATAGTACATGAGCTATGTAAGTAGAATGTACGGAAAGTATTAATCAAAGTTTATCCCTTAGGTGGCTGACGTTGATGATAAATTCGTCAGTTCAAGTCTATTAAGTATTAATTTAGGTGAAATGCTTTATAGTCAGCGAATAATATAGAACAGTATGTGGTAACATGAAAAAAGGCCTAAGATTTCACAGAAAAACAGAGGGTAGTCGCTATCTGTACGGTAGTCGTCATATATATATTTTAAATTGAAAGAAATTTTACGACAAGGTAGCATAATTCTAAATTTCGTTAGAGCACGGAACGGCATGGATGGCGGTGCTGATGAAGTACTGCCCGTGTCGTAATTTTTTTTTCATTATAAAACGACTTTAATTGAACCATTACGTATTATCCTAAATCAAAATATTCAAACGTGTCATTCTAAATTGGACAACGTATAGCCTAGTCGTGCAGTAATGATTACATCTCACGCCAGATTGATTATGTCGTATTCACATTGAGGCATAAATTTTCCTGTTATTGTCCCAACAGGAAGTTGGCCCCACGTAATTGTCTTCCAAGTCCAAGTTTTTACATGACGAGGTCGTTTCGTGGGTGTGGATTTGCATTTAAATTGAGAAAAGCATTGAACAGCATTAAAGTGTCTTTTCTTATTTTTGAATAATAACCAACAAACTTTTGACTGATTTACATTAACTGTTGTTTAATTACTTTATTTTAGACTTTTATGTGGCATATTTTTAATTATACCTATTTTGACAGATATTTTATTCACACTAATTACGACAGCATATTTTAACCGGGTTAATTTTCTTTTCATTAACTTAAAAAGTAAACCTTTGAATACCTTTCACTGGTATCTTATTTCAATGAAACAAACAAAGCTTATTTGCCATACCAGATAAAAATGTAAATGTGCAGAACACAAATAGACAGAAATGGTACATATTATCAAATTAATCGCTATTAACTATTTAAAACGCGATGTCGGGTCAACAATATTAAAACAATATATATTTCACTTAAGCAACTTGTTTTTCTGATGCTTTGGCTTCATAGCTTACTTAGTTAACTTAAACTAATATTTTTCGCGTTTTAAACCGTTAAAAGTGTTTCATTTAATTGTAAACTATTCGCAAAAAATACAGACAATACTTATATACTATATATCACATTTGAAACTGGTCAAAATGTTTTATTCCAACCTTTTACTATGAATAATTTTGTTTTAACACTTTTGTTTTTAATAAAGATTGTTTGAAAGGTCGGACTCGATATTGTACTTCATTACTTAGGGGGGAATGACGAAGTAGAGTTTTTTGGTTCGTTGGTGAGGAGCCTCAAAGACACACGAAGGTTTAAAGGAACGTTTACTAGTGCAAGGCAAACTCAGTCGTCGAATTTAACCTAGGTGTTCACTTTGAAATGCTAATAGTCCCAGGGAACTTCCAAGTGTTGTTTGCATTATGAATAAACCTCAAATGGCAGAATTTGTGTTGATCTATGGTATTCGTAGCGTAGACAAATAACAAACACTCTGTGGTACGTTTTTTACGATTATAATAGAAATTAAATTAATTTACCTGTTTAGCATTGCTCGCACCATGGGTAAGATTTAATATTAATTTTACACTAAAAAGTAAATATTTAAGTTAAATTAAAAATCTTTTTAAATTGAGAAAAAAAAAACAATAGTAAAAGTCCCGACAGACTTGTACCGGCATCTATTCATATCATATCGTATTTTTTTCAATCTAAGTAGGTTTGTACTTTATCTTCTTAATCTTTAAGTTTTGAAATTATCTAACCCGTTATAGGATATGTAAAAATAACTACTCGTAGGTAGTTAGTGAGGTTCATGTTATGACTAACTTTTAAATTGCAAATATTTCCATATTTAGGTTAAGAATGTAAAACTAAGTTGTGAATAAAGGCTTTTTATTTACGACTACTATATTACTTCTATATTTAGCTAGGTATACTTATCATAGATTAAGGTAGAGAAAAGACCAAATTGAAGTAGCGCAAAAATTATCTAATTTAGTTTTTTATGTTAATTGTCTTCGTACGCAATATTTATTTACTGCTCCAAACCAAGTTAATGCAATAAATATTTACTAGAAATAAGTAAATAAAACACCCAACATACATTTGTAGATTTATTATCATTTTAACAGAGTATCTTTGACGCTAAATATGAAATACCTAAAAATGTTATTTATTCCAATTTTTGGCAATAAAGTTGCTTAAAATCAATTGTAAGAAAAAAAGTCAAGATGAATGTCAAAATTTTAAAATGTCCCACCAAAGCAGAACGTAATGAAATAAATTGGTTGACTCAAGCTTTGGACTAAACGTATATTTCTAGCTGGTAGTTGAGCCCAGAACCGCGTTCACTCTTTAATTTAAAATTGGCATAGGGCTGCCCTAGGCCTCCGGCGGTGATTGACGCTTCTGCGTTCGTGTGATCCAGATCTCGCGCTATAATACCCTGGAACAAGAGATTATACTTTAAGTGAAAGTAAAAACAAATAGTACAACTGTCATGTTGTCTTCAGAATATGAGGAAGAAGTATTGTCATTAAATTCCCAGATAAGTACACATTTAAATAAAACACTTTTTGCAGCTATTAGTTTACTTACTTTTCAATTTATCTACGGTCCGAAGTTTGAATGCAGTATCCGTGGTGCCCTGACCACAGCTGTTTTCGCGTTTAAAACGGTTAAAAGTGTTTTATTTAAATGAGTAGAAATTCAAGATTACTGTATTAGAGAACGCGTTACAATTAAGATCAGCTTTCTGAAGATACGCTTGTTCATACATATAGATAAATTTAATTAATTAGGACTTACTTAAGATTTACTTAATGTAGAAATAGTAACAGATTAGGAAAAAACATTTTTTGTCACTCTTCCTATATTACACAGACGACTCTTTTAAGCATTATATAATATATACTAGATCATTAATTTCAGGCTATACATGACGACTTTGTGTTGTAAAACTTGACTGACTAAATCCTACTACTATTAAATGTAATTTATGAAACAAAGGATAATTTAGGAACTATTACATAGTTATTTTAGTCGCAATATAATTTATAACACAGTGGTAACATCTTCGTCACATCCCCTTTGTAATATGTCTACACTAATCCACGTGGATTACAACATGTATTGTATGGAGATTAGATTTGCTACAGCTGAATGACATCACAAAGGTCAACTGCTCAGTTAACTATGTTTACATAGAGACCTATTTAGTAAATATACTAGGAAAGCTTTTATAGAGAGTTACACAATAAGCTTTGTCGTTCTATATACTATTTTTTGATAGAGTAACAGACAAGCATGACGTTTACTTGATGGGAGTTGAAATGCCCTAGCTATATAACACGACAAAGATGTCCTGTCGACATAATTTGGTTTGGATATACAGAAATCCACAGACTAAACGAAACGCATTTAAACTTCTAAGTTTCATTATCTGTGGACGGTGGTTCGTGACCGGGTCGGAATTTCTATATTACTACCATAGACTATCCATACTCTGTGCATGTATTGTTATGTCAGTCAGCGAAACCAAAAGGAAGGATTCTATATATCTCGCGCTCTTCCTCTATAATTTCTATGGGTTATTTTTTTTATTAACATGTGTAAAAAAGGGATAGCAATTGACACAAAGTGCCGACTAAATTTAAAATTCTTACGACATCCACGACGTATTGTTTGTTTCTCTCTTTGAAGAAAACTACTAAAAACTATAGACACATTGATTTGTTCGGACCTATACTTAAACTCACATTAACAAAAAATAATGTTATCTTTAAAACAATTTCTTATAAAAGTTTACCACCTCTATACTGGAGTTTTGTTGATTGAAAAAATACATGGCTCGGAAACATATTAACAAATTTACAGTCGATGATACAGGCTGGAATTAAACCCCAGAGTACCTCTGTACATTAATTGGTTAACCATGATGACCAAATCGTTGACAAAGACGGAGTTCGATCCACGTGATAATTCTATTTTTTATCTAATATAGATTTTGAATTGTTACATATGTAGGTGTAATAGTGTATGTGTATAATGTCCTGGGATTGTTGGTCCCATGGAATCAACGTATGACTCGAGCTATTCATATTATTTACATTAACAAATATCAACACTTCAATTTCGGTGAAGAAAGTTACGTAAAGCACAAAGTTGGATCTGTTTCATTACATTCCTTTAATCTTTATAACATGTTTTTCTAAGAAAAATGTGGTCGTTATGATTAACATTATTATGGATTTTGTTTAATTAACTGATAAATATAACCTTTGACCATTGGATTCCAGCAATATGCAATATCAAATCTTTAAATATACTTTGTTATTAATGTTTACTTTTTTGATATTGTTGTTGTATTGTGTAAAAATGAATAAAACATATTTAACTGCTTACAACGCGAAGCACAGGTATACCTTTTTAATACATCAGAAGATCGTATTAGTTAAGAAAAAAGTTAAGAGCTCCGCATTTTGCTTTAGAAACAAAATTGTGGGTATTGTACGATAATCGCCTATTAGTAAAAATTAACAATCAGAGAATCGAATACAGAATGTACACCAAGAATGATGATTAAGATATAATCTAGCCGTGGTCTCCCCGTGACCACGGCTGCTGCAAAGCATCCGAAACGTCGGGCCGAAGTTAAAAATCATTTTCAAATAAGTTTAACTAATATCGCGTTTTAAACCGTTAAAGTGTTTTATTTAAAAGATATAATCTAGTTAGAATAAATGGAAATTTAAAATATTTTTTTTAATCCTCATAAATGTATGTTACAGAACAAAGAAAGCACTTTTATTTAGATAGAAAACAACTCAACTTTTGCTATACCTATGAATTACTAGTCCGACATAAGAACTTAATCTAAGTTTTAACAATTTAATATTGTAATTGGTAGCCAGCCGCCGTAACGCGTCATGTAATGAAACGGTGTACCCGTGTTATAGAAATGTAAATTGTTCAAAAGAAAATATAATGTAATTGTACACTTTCCGCAATTCATACTTGTGGCAACACTACTCAACTTGTGAAAACAGTTCACGGAAATGTATTGTACCGTCCGCGTCGCAAGTCGCTTTGATGTGGACGTCTGCCTAACTTACTATAGAAGTTATGATGAAATGTAGATACTTGTGGACTTGTTAAGCACACTTCGGCCTGTAAATACGATCGTAATAGAGATAAAAGCTATTTTAATGTTAAATACTGTCTCTGTAGTTTACGCGAGTAGTATACATTTAAATAACAGTGACAGTCTCCCCGTGACCACGGCTGCTGCAAAGCATCCGAAACGTCGGGCCGAAGTTAAAAATCATTTTTAAATAACTTTAACTAATATATCGCGTTCCAAACCGTTAAAGCGTTTTATTTAAATATTTTAATGTTGTTTATCTACACTAATATATAAAGCTGAAGAGTTGTATGTTTGTTTAAACGTGCTAATGTCATGGACTACAAGTACGAATTGGAACATTATTTTGATTGATTTGAACATTGTGTTAGATGCACCATTTCTTACTTATTGCGACTAATAGGGCCGAAGAAACAATAAAAAATTAAAAACACGAAAGTTATTCATTTTTAGGGATTCAAAAAAATAAGTATGGAAGAACGATCTAAAAATATCCGTGACGGTAAATGTCTATCTTTTAAGATCAACTCGCAAGAACGACGCGACGTACGCAGGCGATAGCAAAAATGAAATTTGATGCTCAAAATAATTATTCTACGCTGACGAAGTCGCGGCCACAGCTACTCATTACATACATAGACATTACAAAAAAACTAAAGCAAGTAAATTAAAACTATAGATCTTAACGTTCGGCCTTATTTATGAACTATTAAGCGGTATCTAGCATGTTGGCTAAGTTAAATTTCTAAATAATAGAAGTAATTATTCTCATCTGCATTAATATTAATTACAATAAAGTATGCAGAATACATTATCTATAGCAGCGAGATTTTTTATGCATGTATATAAAAAAATATAGATATATATAGTTTGCAAACATAGTGACTAAGTCGATAATCGCGGTCAAGGCGGCTTGCTCAACGTTATATGTATATATAAAAGATACATATATAACTATGGCAATAAAATTTATTATTAATATAGATTTAGTTTTTTTTTCGCTGCTTATACTTAATTAACAAGTAAATATAATATCAAAGTAAATATAACACTTTTGTGAAACTAAATAACGTAACTAAAACCTAAGTCCTAAGACATGGTATAAGCAGGGAATATGTCGCAGAGTCATGTACGAACTAGTTTAAAACAGTTCTGTTTTTTATACACGTAAGTACATAAATATTTATTTATGTACTTACGTGTATTGAATATGAATTTAATACGTTATGTATTTACATAACGTATTAAATTCATACTTTTATCGAGTATTTTATTGAAACGGTATAAGTTCTGGTCGATAGTTATCAAATTAAAAATATATCAAGCCTTTAACCTTTATTATCTGTTGTCCCGGGTCTGAGAAGAATACCTCCTTGACCCTCTTCTTGAACGGAATCGCGCTGTATTCCGCCTTTTCTTGCCAGAGCAGTCTAGCATTATAGCTGGTTCCTATTATGAGATCCTTGCAATAACTTGCGCAAACACACAGCGAAAGAACAGCAATCAAAATCGACGCGGTTCGCATTTTGTTGATATTTAATTAGCACTCGTATACGCTGTGTGAGGCCGTACACGTATTCTGAGCAACTGACTTGAATCGCTCTTGAATCGGTCAAGACTTGATTACCTCATGTGTGAGTAACCGGATAAAACTTATCAAAAGATTGAGCAGGGTCGATGAATATTGCGTGTTTGTTTTTATTATTTGAGATTTGTTGTTCGTAGGTAAGTTACAACTCACTAGCTGTGTAGCTAGCAATTAAATTATAAATATGAATATTTGTCCCATTTGTCGACATTTGCAAGGAAGTCTCTGTTAAAATAAATCACTTTAACGATTTAAAACGCGATATATCTATTACTTAAACTTATTTGAAAATGATTTTATGACGGCTGCTGCAAAGCATCCCAAACGTCGGGCCGAAGTCTACTCGCGTAAACTATAGACAGTATTTAACACTCTGTTAGCTATGTTAGATAGGTATCTAAATGTAACAGTCATTAGCTTTGAGCTAGATGAAATACATGAGTTCTCTATGAAATCATTATTTTCATAATCATTTTCATCAAATTATTTACAATAAATTTAAAATCTCCTATGCTTTTCGGTTGTAATTTAAGCTTATTTTATGCCATATGTAAATTATATTTTAATATTGCGGAGGTGGTTATTACCGACGGATTGAAATCGTATTTACAATAACAATAATTTTACATACTACATAGTGGGAGATGGTAGTGGTAGATACATACCTACTACATTTTCCTAACCTATAATATTCTAGCTTTCTTGTAGGAAATACGCACTATTTATGAGTGACGACGATATGTAACTTTTTTTTTATACAGTGCTCCTTTATTTATAATTTTAAAAGACAAGTTCTGAAAGCCCTTATCATCATTTACCAAAATATATACATATATATATCTGTTTGCTCTATATTTTTAACTATATTTATGGTATAAAAGTCCTTGTCAGGTACTTACCCGTATTTGTTAGTCATCGCTTCAATAAGGAAAATCGGTCGGGGATTTTTAAAGCAGTATGTTGTATTAATCAAAGATATAATTACTCTAATTACATTGATACATCAGATCATACTTGCAAGCCATTTCAACATCTACATAACCACATTTAAAAAATACTTTCAACGGTTTAAAACGTGTAATTTAATATTAATTACGACCTGCTGTTAAAAATCTAGCGAACACTATAGGTAAAACCTCTGTAAGATTTAAATACACAATTAGATATAATAAAATTCAAATGTCGGCGGAAGTAATTATTGACATACATACTCGTACCTGTTACGCGTTTAATTGTTTGAGTATCGGTTCCGATGTTTATTCCAGGTTAGATATAGATTTCAAGCTATTTAGTCTCTAAAAACATATATATATATATAGTCTGTGTTATACATCCTATTAGGACCAATCCTTGAACTCTGCATTAAGGGTGCTCTAACATAGTATACAATTATTCCAAAAAGCGGAAATTTTACGGCTCGTTTTTATAATGGTAGCAATGTATAATCAACGGGATCGTGGGTTCGAAGCCCACCGGTTGAACATTTTATCTCGATTTATAATTTTTCCTGAAAAAAAATTACACTTCCTCTAGACATTTGGTTTCAGTCTTTTTCGCTTAGTCTGTGGATTTCCGTATATCCAAAGCCGAAAATGGTCGACAGCGCCTCTTGTTTAGATGATATAGCTGGGGTATTTTAGCTGGAGTCCTCCTCTATCTTAAAAATAATAATAAAAGTTTAAAATTAATCACGCTTACGGCAGAGATGAACTTAATGTGAAAATAACGAAGTTATCTGCGGGGAATTCTTTGTAACGCGTCTTTCCAGCCAGGATCCCGGAGCATAATTTATTTCCCGTAAAAGAGCAAAGTATGCCGTCGAAGCCAAGCGCGTTTGTACACATTAACGCTGTATAGCTCATGAAAAATCGCTTAGGAAGAAGCAGCGAACTCCGTTTGCGGGCCGAATATAATGTTCCAGCTATTTCTCCCCTTTTTGCGCTGCCTAGGAAGACGGTCACATTCGGTTTTTACGTACCGAGCCTCCCCGCCTCGTGTTTTCGTTGTTATTAATTACATTTGGGCTATAATTTACTTGAACTCGTATATTTTATTTCTTTAGACTTCTTAGAAAAAGGTCGTTTAAAAATGTCGGCATCTTTTCAACTAATGTTCAACACAAAAATAAGACCTTAAATTAAAATAACCTTTTTGTTATTTAATATTGTGGGAATATGTTTTTGTTAATTATAAAAGTAAATATGTCGGGTATAACTTACAAATTAATCACCATCTGAAATAACAATGGCCCTTTGTAGAACGAAATCATGGATGTATGTCATATTATGTTACTAGCTTTCACCCGCGAATAAGTCTGCCTGTTCAAAGCGAGTTGAAATTCTAAACAATATATAAGCTTTAGATAAAACACTTTAACGGTTTAAAACGCGATATATTAGTTAAACTTATTTGAAAATGTTTTTAACCTTCGGCCCGACGTTGCTGATGCTTTGCAGCAGCCGTGACCACGGCATAACCAAGTTTTACTTATATATCGCGTTTTAAACCGTTAAAGTGTTTTGTTTAAATGTGCACTATTCGCGTAAACTATAGACAGTATTTAATATATAAACTTATATTATGTACTTCTAACCGGTTTAAAAAAAAGTGGAAAATTATTTTAAATGAAGTTTGGATTATTCAAAGCGAATGAATACACAATATTTAAATGAGTTTTCACTGATTAAGTATAATATAATTTAAAATCGTTTAAAGAAAGATTTTTCTCTCGCTTTATGACTTGGTATTTAGGTGTAGATTAGAATTTCAGAAATATGGTATATTCTCGGTGGTTATGGTTTCTTTTCCTCTCTAAGCAAAACTCAATGTATGAAAAAACGAAAATTGTACTTGAACAAAAGTCTTTTATATATAAACGGTCCTGAAACCACCAACAAATTAGAATTTATGTTCACTGTATTTTTAAATATTCTTGTAACACTTCCCATATTTTTATAACACGCGCTGATCTGTCGGCTTTATTACAACCAATTTAAACGCTACATATAGAAAGCTACAATGTTATTCCACAAATATTTCCTCTCTCGGGTAATGTTGCCAGTTGTAATGAAATTATATAAACTTATTTTTTTCTGAATATTAAGAAGTAGCTTTCCTTTGGCGAGTTGTGGGATATAAAAAAATGTAACAATATATTAAATATTATCCATAGTTTATCCATTAAACAATTTTAAGACTTGACGTTTCAAATGCTTTGCAGTCGCTGTGGTCACGGGGGGAACCCGTTTAAATACGTAATAGCATTTTATACATTATTTCGTGTTCTAAATCGATAAAAGTGTTTTATTTTATCTATTATGACATGACTCTTAAATTTTCCATCGACAATATATTAGTGTTGTAATAGTAGTAAAAAACTCAATATCCAATTAAGTGAAATATATCAGTCAAACAAAAGTAATAATATATTTATATATTTCTAAGATGAATAAAGTATTTCTAAAGTGAATGTATTGAGAATGACAAATCAATAAAATCGCACAGAAGTGTGGAAGATATTAAAATCCCATTAATGTTCATCTATAACGATGTATAATAAATGTCTTTGTATTAGGAATTAAAATATCGTTTTACAATAACCGTACCCTAACATAATATACTGTTTTGCGATAGACCTTCCGCCATAAAATGTCTATATTTCTAGAAAAATGAAAAAAAAATTTACAAACACATTAGATTCGATGACAATCGAAACATTATATTTCTACATGATCTAATCTTGACTTTGGGATTATTATATTATTTTATGTAACCGTTTGGCTAGTATTACATGGATTACAAAGCGCCTTTATTGAATACGATTCTATGAAGCGTAAATTGAGCCTGCCACAGTACAACAATGGAGACCGGCTGTAATTCAAGTCTAGGGAATCAGCAAGGTCCTATATTTCAGTTGACAGCACTATGATATCAATTGTATAAGGTTTTTGCAGCCATTTTGCGATACTTGTCTTTAGGTGTTCGGCCTTACTAATTGATGAATCCCTCGGATAAGCTAAGTTTGATCTTTTCTTAGTCTAGAAACGCCTTCCCCACGTTTCTAAAGACGTCATCCATTTGTAGTCGTTGGTAGAAGATACGTCTCTTCGGATGGTTTTAGGACATACCGACATACCGAGTCTTTCCCAGGTCTCCGTCGATGGCCGTTTTAGTGGTTTTGGTCCGTGGAACCACTAAAAACAGTGGCGTTTTTTCGTCTATTGTCTACGATGTACCACACTATCCTCGTCATCATGGACGACGTGGGCGTGAAAAAAGGACATACCGGGCTCTAACTATGTTTTATTTAAAGAAAAGAAGTGAGATAAAGAGGACAGTTAAGTTTAAAGAGAACTCAAGGTGAACTCAAGGTGTAACCGAGAAAGGAACTGACTAAAATCATTGTCATCTAATTTGTTTACTTACTACACTTTAACTAAAGACTGCGTTTGCATACGCTTAGATGTTTATTAAATATAAACTACAAATTTTGGGAATACAAAGCGACGCGTTCACTGAATTGATACACGTTTAAGAGAAATCATAATTAATGATAGTGCTGTAACAGAGTCGTTTGGAATTTCATTCGCAGAAATTGCTTTGAACGTTAATTCATTTGTTTCGTGTTTACTATTATTTGAAACCGATGCAAATAACCTTAAACCTAATTTATGTAGCTTTTATAATTATATTTATAAAAATCATCATGCATTTTAAAATTTTTCACATGGTACTATATATTTAAATTGTAGAAAAACATTTATTTTTTTGCTGTAGCTCAATTGGTTAGAGCAACAGCAGGAACTCTGTGGATGCCGGTGCGAGTCCTGCCCGATACGTATTGTTTTTTTTTCAATTTATAATCCATTTTTAATTTATATAATCATATGCGTTTCAACTAGAGTTCAGCATAAATCGCCGTCTTTTAGACACATGTG